AAATCTTTCTAAAAATGTCAATGTTTTATACTGATCGGAGATGTTTAAAAATAAATCTGAAAAACCTTCGATTTTTATATAGCACTACGCTCTCGCGCTATGTTTTATGAATAATAAATTGTTAATACTCATGCATGTACGCACATATATACGACGGACAACAATAGATTGCTCGACTGATCGCAGCGGTATAACGAATAAAAGACGTTCCATCGAGGCGTATTTACGGTGTCAGCCATTATAGAACGCGATAGCGCGCGTCGGAAATCGATTCTTTCGACTTTCGTCTCCGGGTAAAAGCGGTGATCGCGCAAAGTGCGTGACCGTGTATAGGTGCAGGAGGTAATCCCGCAGTTAGAGTTCTTGCTTGCTCGCTTGCTTGCTTGCTTGCGCAGTGCAGGAAGCCGAGATTCCCTTACGTCCCTATGTCGAATCGGTGAGTGCCGATCGATCGGCACGGCTGGGCACCGTGGAAGTTGGATAACCGTCAATTTGCAAAAGGGGTGCAAGACCAGCGTTCAAAGTCGAGACGAAACGCCTCGGCTTAGCGGCACCGGCGATTGACCCGATCGAAGTGCCGGCACATATCGCCTATCTTCCCTCTTCAGGGTCGAAAGACGGTTGGTGTAATCGATGCTGTCGGACGTTCGAATCGAAACGGCGCGGCGGTGGCTGCTGCTGCTGCTGCTGCTGCTGCTGTTGCCTGCCTGCGGTAGCATCTCGTGATAATGATAGGCAAGAACGAGGGCATCCAAATCGGCCGATCCGACATGCGTCCGTAACGAAGTAATTCGATCGTGTCACGAAATCCCGCTTCAAGTATTTTGTTACGCCCGCCATTCTTCTGTAAGTTCTTCTTCAGGTCGGCACAGCTGTTGCAGTTTCGGCGCATTTTCTCGCTGACGTCGAACAATGCACGACGTGCGTGGCACAAGTTCGCTATTTTATCCGGTCATTATCAAATTCTTGACGACGGCGTAATTTCATACCTACATGATTTTCAGCCAAAGATATCGTATTCGCGAATAATCTTCTCGATCAATAAAATCGATGTGATATGTATATTGTTTTGTGTTCTAAAAATATTATTAACGCGAAAATATTATTTGACGATTAGCGATCGCGCCTGTACATTTTTTCAATGGGACGAGCACCGATGTGTATGGAAGCAATTTAATCGGCAATCGGTGCTTTCTGGATCTGATACAGAAGGTGTGGAGCGAAAGACACGAGAGAGAGGCGGCAGGGGCGAAGAGGATGTTATTTAGAAGCGATAAAATCGTCGTAGTGCATGCAATGACAAACACATGCGTTCTCACCCCGATCTCTGCCTCCGGGGTGATGGCGCACAAGCAGCCCTATCGGGCCGGATCTATATAATAACGCGGCATATGTTTAGGCTATTATTAATTAGCATCTGGATCCAATTAAAGTAATTACGAATTCGACGGTAAAATATCGTCACGAGCCTACGCAGTCTAGAAGGGATTATCTCGGCAGCAAAACGATCCGATTGTGTTTGCTGTGCGGCGCGGCATATTTACACGCAACAAAACCGAGAACACGTCAGTTTTTACCAGACATCCGTCATACTGAAGACGATCGATTGTTCTACGAAACTATAACTTATATTGCCGCTATAGGACAGTGTAAAGTTGTCTCACTAATATACGCGGTCGCTCTTATCATTCTCTTATTATTAGACGATCTCGTTACTAATGACGTCATTACTATCAATTTTAAATTTGGAGATTTTCAATGACACTTGACCGTGTTTCCACGAAAATTTTATATATATATATATATCTTCGCTGTAATCATCCACCGTAATTTATTCACATTGTTTCTCATTAACACAAAGATATTGGAACGATAACATCGTGTTCACGATGTGTGATCGCAACACACTTTTTTGCAAAACGCTGCGCGCCTCTTAATTCCGGCGGCGAAAAAACAAAAACAAAAAAAAAAAAAAATGCCACGTAGTGGAAAATACAAATTAGTCATACAACGTAAATGCGCGATTTAATTACAAAATAAGGATGCGCGCTTATTGCCATTCGCAACTCATTTGCAACGGCGAATATTTAGCGCAGTAATAACAAGATGCATCGGCACGATACGCGTTTGGCGCTATAAATCATCTCGTTGGCAGAATCTTTTTCGCTTAAATCGCGCGTTACGAACACTAACGCTCGAGCGTTCGGGACGTTCGAAGAAAACCATTATCCACCAACGACTTCCGCTGTTAATATAACGATCGCGCGCGGGACGATCGTTATCGAGACGATCTTCTCCCGATCCTCTCTTTCTCACTGTCTCTCTCTCTCTCTCTCTCTATCAGCTAGTCCTCGGTACTTCCCCCGCCGCGCGTGATCGTTTCCTGACGTATGTCCACGTGACAAATACGCAGGATGCTACCAGACAGCAGCTATCGATACGCATCCGCCATTCGAACAGCCATATATTACGGCTCGCTCTCGGATATGTATTTATGCTTCCCGTATCATTTCGCAATTATCGATAACATCGTCAAGGCTTTTTGCAGGAAACAATGGGTCATTACTTGCCCGCTGTAGCCATGGTGCCTCTGTTTCTCCTTCTCTCTCTCCTTGTGTCTCCGAGTTCGTCCGTGTGCTCTACACTCATCCTCACCTCTCTCTTTCCCGACTGCTCGCGCCCGATCGCGATGTGCCACATGTGTGTCTCGTGAGACGTCACACATTGACAGATCGATGGATGCCGATGCCACGTACACCGCTCGGACATTCCTGTTTACATAAGCTGAAAAAGAAATCCAATAGGCAAGGAAGATGTACACACACGTCGAGTCGTTTCCGCTTATACTAGCCTTTTCATACAATTCATGTTAAATGTATGCCGCCGTTGTGTGTGCTGTTAGTTTCATTTTCAGTAGCTGCACTTTTCACTCAGAATCAATATTATCGTGCATTAACTTGAGTAACTTGGGCCCCTGACTTTAGTTAATGTCGCGGCTAAGAGAGAGAAAGAGAGAGAAGGGTGATTCACTTTCTTTATATACGTTGTATAAGCAAATTATAAGCAAAGAAAGGAAGACTACTCACTGACGTATACAGATAACAGATAACCATGTTGGATTAGCGAATTGATAGATTATCACAGTTAGGCTGAATTGTTGATTGTGTGGAGAATAACGAGTCGGATTTCCTTTCTGACGCGATGCGCCGGATAGAAGCGGTATAACCTGTTTGATTCGAGCAATCGATCCCGAATTCCTTCCTGTCTATTGGACTGCCGCGAATGTGGATAAAGCGGAGAGCGAAAAAAAGCGAGAAGAGAGAGAGAGAGAGAGAGAACGAAGAGACGAAAGAGTCGCAGAGAGGACAAGAAATACAAGCGGGGTGATAACTATCCGGCGCGTATATATGCCACAAGTGTAGCGGAAGGAGGGATAGGCCGACACAAGGGCCGCGGCTACTTTGAATATAAAAGCTGCTATAATTAATATCCAAGCCGGAGCAACGTAGGCGGGCGAACAATATTTATTAGATACTTTATGGGGAAAGTTTAAAAAGGTAATCCCCCTCTGTAGTTACTCGTTACCAATACCTTCATTATTTCCGTATCAACATGGGACTTTTTTCTTGTTCGCGGACTTTGATTCAGAGAAAAGCCGACTCGTTTGTGTTATATATATACATACATATATATATATATACATATATATATATATGTATACGTCTCCACGCGTAAGACAGTTGTTTATGCGCTACAGTTGTCGGAGATAACATCGCAGTAGGTGTTGCGATTGGCATGCTAATTAACGAACGCTTTGCTGCTAGGATCTAGCAAAGGTAGACGCAGTCACCGAAAGTATTTCGTCGTTAATAGTCTCTCTCCGCGAATGCTGAACCATCGTCGCGGTCGTCTGTGCGTCTAGTATGTTTTTACGCGCCGTTATGCATGAGTGATTTCAACAGAAATCGCTGTGACATGTAAAACGTATAGTATTAAGACTGACATGTTACACCAAGCAACAATCGATGTTCACGCGGATTAACGCACATTAAATAACAGTTAAGCAAGAATATTAATTTAACAAATATATAGAACTAATATATATATATATATATATATTATAGTTTACTACTGTGTAATTTGTTACATTGAGACACGCAATACGTGATACATACGCGAAATGAAGAGAAAGGCAATTCCGGTAACATTACAAGAATTACGTTATAGAGCGACGGAGCGCATTACAATGTCCAGAATCGAAGAAACTACGACGCCAACTCGCTATTTCCTGCGCTGAGAATATCAAAGCAGTCTCGCGCGGCTCGACGGGCCGTCGTTTCTATTTTTGTCGGCTTTTCGTAGCCGCGAAATTAGGTACAGCCGGCGAGAATTGATTGATTTCGCGTCGCACGGCTACGCGACGGTAATTTAACGATCGGGACCACCGTGAAAAATTTGCACAGAGTACACGCCGTTCGTGAGCATAATCGTCTGCGCCGTTAATTCCGACTCCGGGTGCAGAATTAAATCTCTTTAGCGTGTAACGAAGTACAATTCGCGCGAATTGCAAAGAACTAACGTCTCGGCGAAAAGGATTGGTCGCTTAGTATTATATTGGGGTCAAAGACGGCGAAATTTTAGCGCTCTTATATTAACCAATTTTCTATTAGCCAATTTTGAAAGTGGTCGACCGAATGTCTGCAATGTGAAAAAGAACGTGCATTCATATCGTGGAAATTGATTAAGAAAAAGTACCTGATATCGATGTCGCTCGTTTCTATATTGCACAACATGGATGAACGCAACTTGAGCTAGTAATTTAACAAAACGCGATCTCGTGAGCTCGATTGAGGCAACGAGAAAAAAAGTGAATTTAAGTTCTCGTCGAGATAGAGAGAGAGAGAGAGAGAGAGAGAAAGATAGGGTTTAGCTGGTATATTGTAACTTGCGAATGCTATCGCTTGCGAGACACTCATTATCCTCTCTCTTTCTTGTTTCAGAGAGCGACTTCGGCGGAGAAAGAAATAGCCGCGCTGAAAGAACAGCTTGCCGCAACGAATGACAGCAATTCCAAGACTGAGGGACACCAATTGTCTCAGCCTCCGCAGGGAAGCGATCAACAGCAGGTACACGATGCCAGCAATCCCAGAAGGACGCCGAACAGCAACCTCGAGCAGGAGCTGCAGGCCAAAGACAAAGAGGTAAGTCAGATCAAACTTAAACTCTACCGCTGAGAAATGTTGCTCTCTCTCTCGCGTTTCTATGTATTCTCGATAATTAATTCAAAACGAAGAAACAAAGTGTAACAAGCAAATAAAACTTTTTTAAGTTCGAAAGTATTTAGCGGAGTGGAAAAAAAATCGATCGAGAGGAGTAACTAATGTTGAAATACATAGCGCACAGTGCGCAATGTTATTGCTACAATCAAGAGAAGCAAATTTCTCACACGGCTCGCGATTGATAAATCGAACGTTCGCGAGCGGGCGATCGCGCGCGGCTTAACTCACTCACGGGGTTGTAACGTGCAAAACCACCGCGTGTATGTTAGCGCGATTTCCGCGTGCAGACACGCGTGAGCCGCGGCATGTCGAGGTGAATGACTAACGTTACTACTCGTGTTCAATATCCGCATTCGGTGGTTTATTGTCCCTCTCCTTCTTCATCCGCCCTGTGCCATTCTGTTCCATGCAATCACGTTCGAATACCGCACGCATGCCTGACACTCACCCCTTTATAACCGCTGTTGTCGCGCAGACGTTTAAACTGCGGTTTTATTTTTTCAAACTTGCGATTTAATTAATAATTACACACAATCTCGAATCGCAAAAATCCTCCGATTGTTTTTCGAAACGAGTGAATTTTTTCGAATATAGAAAATAAAATATTTTTGTGTTTGCGCACATTGTGTGTGTTTTGCACACTGACGTACGAATTGAGGAAGACACAGTCGTAGAGATTTTGCGTGGCGAATAGCATTTAAAGGTAGCAACATGATTGGCAAGTGATTCGGACGTGATTTCCCAACTATCGCGTGGCATTTTTCTCGCGAAAGATACACACGATCAGGACCGAGATTTCCGATAAACGTGTTCGAATTACTCAACCGCGCGCGTTTCCGTGGAACCCCACGCGAACTCCCGCTCGAGGCTATAAGTAGCGAACGTGTAACTAATGATACTTGATCAGCTATCGAAATAGATAACGAAGTCAATTTGGAAAAGCGTAACGCGCCCCGCTATTCAGCTCTCACCATCGTTGTTCATTAATCGCGCTCTTGTACAAAATAGGTGCATCTCCCGATATATATTTAGTAACATCAAACGGCATGCCAGGACTTTACGTTCAATGTACGGCATGTCAGGACTTTCTCGAGTCTGGTCTCTCGTTCGGGTCGTTAAAGCGCCGGAATGCGGCGGCGGCGGCGGCGGTAGCAGCGCGCGCGCGCGCGCGTGCGAATCTTTTATTACAATTCGCCCGTCTACGCGGGGTTTCGGAATAACCCCGCGCAATAACATTATCGTATATTATATTTATTAGGGAAGGGTAAATAACCATACAACACGACGAGGGAGGAAGAGGGCAGAGTGTGTGCGCACGCGCTTTCGTTTCTCGATAAAAATAGCCGCGCGACGCAAACGTCTCGAAGAGATTCCCGCGAAGCTCCGATCGGTCGCTGCTCCAATCCCGAGCTGCAACGCGCAGCTGCCGCACGACACGAAGATAATAGCGGAATGGAGATAATGATGGTCATCCCTCACTTTTACCGCCGAATATTCGGCCTAATAAACTACGGTCGTCTAGTAGAGGCGACGGGCGGTTCCGTCTTCTTACAGTTTGTTTTGTCTGGGGAATATGAGGAGGTATGCCGAGTCGTTACGCTTCTCACAAATGTGCAATTAAAGTCGATTAATTGCAAGTGCTTACGTAATTATGTGTAAATGTGTGAAGTACAGCAAAAATATCATGTCTGTGTGTTTCGGCACATACGACGCAGTTGGATATGATAAATGTGAAACAAGTGTGATTTTGTAAAATTTATTAAAGAAAACAAACTTTTCTGTATATATATTTGATATTAAAAAAAAAAAAAAATATTATCTTACACGCGATTTTAAAGATAGAAAGAGAGAGAAATATCGAAGAAAGATTCCTTTTTATGTAGATTAAACTGCGAGTCGAGCAATATAGATATAACAGATACGTTCAGGTCGATCAATCTTCGAGAGGTAATATAGAATACGAGTTATCTACCGCTACTCGAAGCCTTTTTTCCTCGGAAGTGGTCAGGAAGAGCCTAAGTGGTAGTTGCACCCTTTAGTGCCGTGCACTTTGCGTGGTTTACGAAGCGGCGTGCAAGAAGGTCGAGCCCGTAAAAATCTTGCCTGTAGTAAAGGAAAAGGAGTGAGGCGTAGAGGATGGAAGAGAGAGCGTAACCTGTTAAGATTGTATAATGCAAGAGGGGGCGAGAACGGCTTTGCCGGGGTAGGGGGCGAGTGTACACGAGCCTTTAAACAAAGCCAAAAACACTTAAAGCGGCGAGCGCGTGAGAAAGGAGTGATAAAAACGCCGCTAAGAGTTCAATAAGTATCCTTCTTAGAGCCAATAACAACCACTCCTCCTTTTCTGTCGCCTTTAACCACCGTCCGCCCTTCCTCTGTTCTTCTTCCCTTCGCACCACCCCCATCTCTGCGCGTCCCCCCGCGAGGAAAATCGTTTGCTTCGAAGCCTTCGAGCCCGTTGTAATCCCGGAGCCGATAATCTCCGATCCCGTCCCTCTTCTTGTCGACGTCGTATCCTTGCTCTCCTTGTTCATCCATCCCCTTGTCTCAGGGGGTAGAAGGAGGATGGGCGCGCGTTCTGTTCTCACCGACGGTGCCTTTTAACGGATAAGAATTTGCTCCGCGGACAATGTCTTTATTGAGAAGCCATCGCGCGCCATGGAGCACCGGAATGATTTTTATTATTCGTCGATTAAAGAGAGGTAATGGCAGTTTCAAGCCCCTACCGTACGACGGGATGATTTAAGGACGATAATGAGGAGTAAATAATGCGATAGTGTCTCCTAAAGAGGGACAAGGACGAGAGGTGTCTTAGAAAGGGGTGAGTCCCGTGCGATACTCGGGAATACGCCCATGAATTATGGAGACTTTGGAAGTACGTTAAGTTTATGACAGGTCGATAATTATCAAACATGTGTTGCTGTATACATCACGTAGCCGGATTCTCATTATTCCGCCAGTAGTTGCGCGTGATGTTTACAGAGTCTGATTATTGGTACCACGTGTGCAATCTATACAATAAAAGTTTCTCTCTCTTTTTTTTTCTTTTTTTTTTTTGAAAAGTATTTTAAGTTGAGATAGCTCGTATCAGCTGTCATTTCTTGAAGACACATTTTCGACTGATAAGAATAATCACTTTTCACTTATCAATTAATCTATATACTTAAGTTTTAACGTCAATAAAGATTGAATTGTCTCTTGCAACAATTTTCAAGAATTATTCAATCGTTTAGCGATTTATTTTTCTTTTTATACTTAACGATTTTATTACATATATATATATATCTTTCTCTAAATTAAACCTACATGTCGTTAGATTTTACTTTCTCTCTCTCAACTACTATATAGTTTCAGTCACATTGATAATTCTGCCAGTTTCTCGACATCGGGTCTTATTTTCCGCCTTTGCAAATATATTATCCCGCCCGCGAATACGAAGTGGTGATAATTTGCGATTCCAACCGTCTTTCGTGTCCCGTGGCTCATTATCTCAATGCTTTGGAGTCGCTGGTGTCGTATATACAAGTCGTAGCTACGGCTACCACCGTCCCAATCCTCCGTCACGGCATGCTTGTAATTTCAACAAGACATTGTGAACGATCTACACTGTCCCCGCGGCACCCTGTCCGTCACCCCTAAAGACAGTCTTTGCGCTACGCGCATTTAAATCGTGCGCTCCAACAAGCGTACCGCTCGTCTCTCTCCGCAAATAAATCACTCTTGTCGGTGCGTCTGAATCACGGTCTCGTGCGAGCAGCGGGAGAACGTTGCCAGAAAATCCGAAGATTTCTTTATATATTTTCGACGTGTTGGTTCCGTTAAGTCTACGCGTCACACGTGTGTGTGACACTCGTACAAGAACGTTTATCGTCAAATTTAAGTTAAATCACGAGCAGATATCAATTGTAGAAATACATAAAGAAATACATAAGATATATATATATATATATATTGTGGAAAAAAAGAGAAGTGGAATACTTCTTCCCGGATAGGATGTGGCTAGATATTATTAGAATAGTCGCGGCCGCGTAACATCCTATAAACATGGCAATAATAAAAATTCGCGCATTGGATAAAAGCGCCGCGATAAGAGTGCACACACGTTCTCGTCGGCGATTCATCGTTTCCGTTTCCTGTCGCGTAACCACGAACGGTATCGAAACGATGAGTATCGATGTAGCACGAGTACGTTTTTTATAATTTGACGCTGCGATAATATAGACGAATTCTTGATTAATTTTCAACGCTCTAGCGACGTCCGACTCTGCTCGAACGACGCGATAACAACGTTGCATATTCACGCTTTAATTCTTCGAAAAACTTTGAACTCTCTTGTGTAATTACCACAGATACGTACGAAGTACTTGAAATGTCTCATCTGGATTTATCTCCGAATGCGAACAACGTCTGAACAATAAATTACAGTGGCGGAAATGTTCTCAATGTTTAGTCTTCGAGTTCCATCAACATTGGTGTTTCCTCGCTTCTGTTGCTGGAGGAATTGGATATAGTGGCAATGATAACATACGCGCTACCGAGGTGGCAATGAGAGAGCCTTCGGGTCTTTGTGTAAGCTTGTGTCGCAGCGGCGACAAATTGAATTCGTCACGGCTGCGGCTCTAAATCCTCGCTATTTTGTTGCTGCACTTATCTTTGGCATTTTGTCGTGCCACCTTGGTCATGGCTTCACTTCCAGCAGCTGCTTGATCTTAATTAAACGCCAGAATCTGGCAAGTGTAAAACTCGTAATAGATATTCATTTGTCCTTCGCGTGTCGCAAATCTTTTGTCGTAATTACAATCAAGTTATCATAGGCATACTTTGCTTTACAATGTATAAAGAGAATCGCTATTGTGTTATTTATCAAGTTAAGATACAAGTTTACGATTTTGTCTACCAGAGGACGAAAACGTTGTTGTTGA